ATATATCCTGTAGTACCGTAGTAATTTGTGGTATCTATTATAATATATATAGGTTTACACAGGATCTTACGTAAAGCCTTCTGGGATCATTTCAGTGGACAACATTTGGGATCATGTTATAGTTGATGGATTTGTGGCTGTTTCCCTTGAAGGATACAAAAACGTGCCTGTCATTGCAAAAGTAGTGAAAACAGAGACCGAGACAGTAACAATACATTATTGGAAAGGATCTTGGAACAAGAAATGGCAACCTTGGCTTCTCTCAAATGGTGATCCATGGACTGATGTCCTGCCAAAAGATTGTGTATATTTGACAGCATTTGAACTGATTGATGGTAAACTACAGCCTGATACGAAACGACAAATGAGAACCTTCTTGAAGCAAGCTATGAAGGATTAACAAGGTACATATCCATGTTTACAGTTACAAAATTTGTATAGTTTCCCATTCATGCCTAAACATACAATTAGCAATATATTTAAGTTACTGCATGTTCAAATTTATCCTATTTCATATTGGTGTGGACTTATCCAAACCAACTATAATCAACCATCTGCAAAAGTGGTGTCGACATGTCGGTGACATCTGCTTTGAAAAATGGCCTATTTTCAGTGTCTTTTCATGTTGGCGTCGATTTATCCAAACCTACTATTAATATGTTTGCAAAATATTCCTAATTTATCAACCATGTGCAAATGTGGTCTCGACATGTCGGTGACATCTGCTTTCAAAAATGGCCTATTTTCAGTGTCTTTTCATGTTGGCGTCGATTTATCTAAACCAACAATTAATATGTTTGCAAAATATTCCTAATTTATCAACCTGTGCAAATGTGGTCTCGACATGTCGGTGACATCTGCTTTGAAAAATGGCCTATTTAGTGTCTTTTAATATTGGCGTCGATTTATCCAAACCCACTATTAATATGTTTGCAAAATATTCCTAATTTATCGACCATGTGCAAATGTGGTCTCGACATGTCGGTGACATCTGCTTTCAAAAATGGCCTATTTAGTGTCTTTTAATATTGGCGTCGATTTATCCAAACCCACTATTAATATGTTTGCAAAATATTCCTAATTTATCAACCATGTGGAAATGTGGTCTCGACATGTCGGTGACATCTGCTTTGAAAAATGGCCTATTTTCAGTGTCTTTTCATGTTGGCGTCGATTTATCCAAACCAACAATTAATATGTTTGCAAAATATTCCTAATTTATCGACCATGTGCAAATGTGGTCTCGACATGTCGGTGACATCTGCTTTGAAAAATGGCCTATTTTAAGTGTCTCTTCATGTTGGCGTCGATTTATCCAAACCAACCATTAATATGTTTGCAAAATATTCCTAATTTATCAACCGGTGCAAATGTGGTCTCGACATGTCGGTGACATCTGCTTTGAAAAATGGCCTATTTAGTGTCTTTTAATATTGGCGTCGATTTATCCAAACCCACTATTAATATGTTTGCAAAATATTCCTAATTTATCAACCATGTGCAAATGTGGTCTCGACATGTCGGTGACATCTGCTTTGAAAAATGGCCTATTTTAAGTGTCTCTTCATGTTGGCGTCAATTTATCCAAACCAACTATTAATATGTTTGCAAAATATTCCTAATTTATCAACCATGTGCAAAAGTGGTCTCGACATGTCGGTGACATCTGCTTTGAAAAATGCCCTATTTTCAGTGTCTTTTCATGTTGGCGTCGATTTATCCAAGCCAACTATTAATATGTTTGCAAAATATTCCTAATTTATCAACCATGTGCAAAGGTGGTCTCGACATGTCGGTGACATCTGCTTTGAAAAATGGCCTATTTTAAGTGTCTCTTCATGTTGGCGTCGATTTATCCAAACCAACCATTAATATGTTTGCAAAATATTCCTAATTTATCAACCGGTGCAAATGTGGTCTCGACATGTCGGTGACATCTGCTTTGAAAAATGACCTTTTTAGTATCTTTTCATGTTGGCGTGGATTTATCCAAACCGACTATTAATATGTTGCAAAATATTCCAAATTTATCCACCATGTCTAAATGTGGTCTCGACATGTCGGTGACATCTGCTTTCAAAAATAGCCAATTTAGTGTCTTTTCATGTTGGCGTCGATTTATCCAAGTCAACTATTAATATGTTTGCAAAATATTCCTAATTTATCAACCATGTGCAAATGTGGTCTCGACATGTCGGTGACATCTGCTTTGAAAAATGGCCTATTTTAAGTGTCTCTTCATGTTGGCGTCAATTTATCCAAACCAACTATTAATATGTTTGCAAAATATTCCTAATTTATCAACCATGTGCAAAAGTGGTCTCGACATGTCGGTGACATCTGCTTTGAAAAATGACTTATTTAGTGACTTTTCATGTTGGCGTCGATTTATCCAAACCAACTATTAATATGTTTGCAAAATATTCCTAATTTATCGACCATGTGCAAATGTGGTCTCGACATGTCAGTGACATCTGCTTTGAAAAATGGCCTATTTAGTCTGTTTTCTTGTTGGCGTCGATTTATCCAGACCAACTATTAATATGTTTGCAAAATATGCCTAATTTATCAACCATGTGCAAATGTGGTCTCGACATGTCGGTGACATCTGCTTTGAAAAATGGCCTATTTAGTATTTAGTGTCTTTTCATGTTGGCAAAATGTTGTTCGCAAAATATTCCTAATTTATCAACTATGTGAAAATGTGGTCTAGACAAGTCAGTGACAACTGTTGTGTAATAATTCATATTTAGTGTCTTTGGAGTACTGAGTTGGACTTATCCAAAGCAATTTTTAAAATACTTGAAGATATCCCTATTTTATGAGCTACATAGAAATGTGGTTTCAACATATCAATGACAATGCCATTATGAAAATCATGTAGTGTCTTTTCGTGTTAATATTGATTATTGGCTTGAATTTATCCAAACCAACAATTAATATGCTGCTCGGTGACTATTGCTTTTAAAATGACGAAAACCTCTTCTTTAGTTTTTACACTCACTATTGAAAATATTGATCTTTTCTACATTTTTTTGCAACACGTAATATTTTTTGGCAAAATTACATCAAAATGTTAACTTTTAGCATAGGATATTATGAGATTTTACATTTGTGGACATTTTTCTCGCATGAGGTCTATTTGTCCATATTTTTAAGTAAATAGAATATCACACTTTGCTCTGGAACGTGTTGTAAGTTTGTTTCTGTACTTTTGTTGATGCAGTTATGGACACCATTTTTTTAAAAATCGTCCTTCTTGAAATGTCTTTCGACTGTGGTTTATGGACAATGATTTTTTTCTCTTTTGGCTCTAATGGAAACAATTTTTATTATAATATCATTTCAGTCAATTTACTCGATTCGATCTAATTGGTTATAAACTGTACCGATGAAAGATTAATCGGCACGAATATGAGCCTGCGTGCATTCCGCCCGCTGAAGTGTTGCAGAAATTAAAACAGAAAATCTATAAGTAAACAACGTGAAAATTTATATTTTGTGAGAAGTATTATTAAAAAACTCATTAATAATTTATGAGAAAAACACAAAGGAAAATCAATGTAAAACAATAATGATTTGAAAACAAATTGGCGGTGCGGTCTCCTTGGTGGATCGTGCAATTTTGACAGGTTTTTTTAAAACTCAAAAATACTGTTAATTATTAATTGCACACTTTGCCATCAATGCCATGTGCAGGATTACCTACACTAGTTGTAGGAAATTAAAACAATGATAACTAAATATCAATTCTTAATTTAATAACTCTAAATGTAATATTCCATTTAATTAAAGACTGTTCTAGAATGAGTTAAAGAACTGTTGAAAGTGTCACGAATACGAGATTACTTTAGAGATTTATAAATAAAATTATTTTGAATAACCTGTAAACTGATGCGTCAGACTCTAATTACTAATAAGTGTAGGTAATCATGCGATGGCGAGTACAATTAGGTAATAGTACGAGTGATGTTTGGAAATTTTGCCAAAATTGGACAAGCCGCCGGGGCAAGTCGAATTTGACAAATTTCCAAATATCACGAGTAAAGAACTAAATTAAAATACGAACAAAAGCACCAAATTTTGCTTTAACGAAAGAACTAAATTAAAATACGAACAAAAGCACCAAATTTTGGTTGAAAGTATGGCAGCACTGGGCTTTAGCGAGAGAATACGATGTTAACATTGCCAAGTATCCAATTTTGTCATGCTAATAATTAAACAAGTAATCATACGTTGTTGCTCCTACAATTAGGGATTAATATAGCCTACGGTGTAGACCCCAGCAGAAACACGTTTCGTGAGGAATCTACGAATAAACGAAGAAAAGCTTGCCGGGCCTACGTTATACCCGTTTTACGTTTTGGCTATATTAACTTCAATGTATTCAAATTTATGACGTGTGCGCTCTTTATATTAAAGTGTTCCATGGACCATGGTGGGCATTTAGCAATAGAAATGTGTTCTTTGCTTCAAAGTCCCGTCGAATGAAAGCAATATTAATTTCTCGGACAGCAAGGAGAACATACGTAACGAGTTAGACGACCTTCCTTCTCCATTTTACCAGCAAATAGGCTTTGCAAAGCCTGTCTAGCGTTGGTAAACAAACGGGGAAGCTTCAAAGAACGGTTTTGTGAACTAGACAATACGATAACGAACGTGCACGAAACAGCATTAAACGCTATTGGTATACCGCTTAAAGTAAAGGGAAATGTCGTGAGGAAACTGAGATTCGAGCCGACTTGCGATAAAACTTGCGACTTTGTCTAACAGGTTTGTACGATTGACAAGAATTTTTTGAATTAAACATGCACTTACAACAAATCGTTTTAAAATATACCCTGACTATATATTTAACAGTTATTCCACGAACTCGAGTCGAATATGAGCTGATAGCCAATGAGGCGCGTAGCGCGGAATCGGCTATCGCTCTTATATACACAAGGTCTGAATTCACAGACTTTGCTTATC